CACACTTTGAATACCTACTAATTCCAATGGTTTTAAGCATAAGAAAGAAACAACAATGGAGCTATTATCTGTTAAAAGTGTGGGCACAAACAGGTAGTTGGACATTCCCTGAGGGGTCTCAGATTGGAGAGGGTGAAGGCCAGACTGAGGAGCCCCTTTCCCCTCCTACCCCAGTGCACGTATTTTGTGCACCGGGCTACTTGTATCTAAATAAAAAACATCCTCAATTTTTCTGTGGAACAATGTCTGAAAGGTATTAGTATCAAATAAGAGGACAACAGAAGATCTCATTAACTACTCCCCATTTAACTAGCTCACTAGATTAGCAATTATTCTTCATTCCCTGTATAGACACAGTGAGCACTGCCAGGCTAGCACTGGCAGCTGAAGTGCTACCTCTCTCTCTAGTATGTCTCAAACACTGCTGCTCCAACCAGTGCAATTGCTATTTCCTTATAATTAGTTGCATTTGTCCCCAAACTATACCCACTGTTACCATCGTATTTAATTTAACTAAATCATGAATAAAATAATTATACAAGACTATTAAAGAAAAGGAGACTTATTTGTATACAATCTTTTTTGATTACTTTGATAAGATTCCATAAAGCTGAGTCACTAAAACGACCTGTAAACTTAGAGAAAAGTGAGTAAGTTTTAAGATATTGAGGTGGTCAATAAACATCAAAACCAGAAAAAGGCTATTCTTCAAATGACCTCAAAAAACTCTTTAGAGTTCCACTACTACTTAAAGAACCAACAGTGTGAACAGTAAATAATGCACTGTGGTGATTTATCCCAGAAAGAGAACAATGTTTCCCAAACATCAGACCCAGCGTCAAAGAAGAGATCTTATTTCAAAAATATTGATGAATGATTGATTGTGAGTTTTAAATTACAGTTTCTATACACTTCTTTAATGTCTCTCTCCTTTAAATGTTAACAGTTAATTGACCAATATCTAATCCCATAAAAAGGCTTCTATTATCAGCAAATCAAAAGATTCACAGAACTCTATCTTAGCAATGAGAGAAAATTCTTGGAAAATTAATAGTTTCCAATGCCAATCTTATTTTATGTATGAGAAACGTGCAGCCACTATGTTGTTGTTTTTTTTTGTGTGTGTGTGTGTTTTTAAAAATCTTCACCAGAGGATATTTTCCCATTGATTTTTAGAGAGAGTGGAAGAGAGAGGGAAAGACAGAAAGAAATATCGATGTGAAAGAAACATATTGATTGGTTGCCTCCTGCACGCACCCTGACCAGGGCCTGGGCTGGGGAGGAGCCTGCAACAGAGGTCCATGCCCTTGACCGGAATCAAACCCAGGACCTTTGGTCCACAGGCTGATGCTCTAGCCACTGAGCCAATCTGCCTAGGGTCGTGTAGCCACTCTGCACACATAATTATTTCTGGTTGTACCTGGATGAATTCTAAATGTTGAATGACTAGGATCTCGAAAAAGGGATTCTGACCCATTTTTTTAACCTTCAATATTTTGGCTAGGGCAGAAAAATAATTGTTTCACATTCTACCTTGACTCAATGTGAAATATAATTATAATGAACAAACATTTATATAGTAACAACCATATGCTAGTTATCATGCTAGGCAACATGGGAGGCATAAGTCATGGTTCTTGTCTTCAAAAGCTAACAATTTAACTAGAAATATGTGTGCAGATACCT